ACCATATGGCCGTAAAGAAGATTTCGGGATGGAATCATAACTTTTCAGACGATTAGATCTCATATCTATAAGAGGCCACGTTCCTGTCGAATTTAATTAGAAGAAAGTCAGAATTTAGCAAGGAGAGATGGGTTCAAGCTGCAGAAAAGGTCCCCTAACCAGAAGAGAAGGCCTGTGAATGTGTCCTATTTATAGAAGATTTGTCAACGATTATATGTTTTTCTTCGATTAATTTATTGGACATATATTTTTGGGTTTCTGTAACACGCCCCATTATTGTTTTGTTAATATACCTAATAATCTAAGATGAAAGAAACTTATTTTGTTCTCTAAAAGAAGGCCGTTTGGTATTCTTTTCATAATGTTGGCTTGGGTAACCTTTCGGGATTTTGGTATTCGATATATCTTTGTAGATAATATAAGAAAAGGTCTTAACCATATATTATATGAGGCCTATTCCAAAAGATAGACAAAATTATGTTTTCAATATCATCTTTTGGAATAAAATCCATATAATTATGTGGTTCTGGGTGAAATTCAATTTTGTTGGATTTCCTTTGAAGAAGTGGACACTAAAACACGTTTTGTATGCCTTTATGTTTATTTACTATTTTCTAAATTTCAATTGAAGTCCATAGAGGTCATTAAAACAACAGCAAAATGGGTCACGTCTTGTACCATTCCCATACTATGAAGTTGATTTAATTTTCATTCACAAATCTTATATTTGGACCAGCATTTACAATTTCAAAATTTTTCAAAAAGTAAACAAATATTTTTACTATTATTTCAAAATGGTGAATTCTGATTGGTTGAATTTAATTTGCTTCAAGTTTTGTATGTCACGGCGAATCAGTTATTTTTCGCCTTGTTAACAATGTTGACATATCATGTTCCCAATTCGCCGATGCGGCTACCTTATATATCTACCTTGGTGTGGTTTATTTTCGTTTCGTATGATTTAAATAGTAAACAAATTTGAGTATAAAGTATTTTTTTTTTTTTTAAATAAAAAAATAATATGTAGATATAGAGATCTTCCTCATTGTACCTATGTCATGATTAGAATTTTTCAAAACTGTGGCTCTTTTCAGAATTGTGCAAGAAGCATTCTGGCCTCTTCTGGCTTGTGTTTGATACACAGTAGAAACCGGGCATTTCTGTAACTCATTTTACACTTTTCTGAAGTGTATTCTTTATACTGTTAATTTTGGTAGAGAAATATGGGTGTATTCAACTTTTCCTATTGAAATAAATATTATTATCCAGAATTAATGTAAAGGATTATAGATTAAATTTTTGTTACAGTAGACAACGGATATACGAACATTCAAAATTCGAGAAATTCATTCTTATAAGCGGGGATTTCTTATATGAAATTATTTCCTTTTTATTTGCATACAAATTTAAAATTTCTACTCATGTGAGAAATAGAAATACTGAGTAGCTATGAAATAAGGTGGAATCTTTGTAATTAACTTTAAATTGGCCACATGAATTATAAATTGGCTTAAATTTCCAAGAAACGGGCGGGCCGCCAATACCCTACACAACTTCCACGAAAATAAAACTTTCTGTGGTTCTATATTCTGATATTCAGTACAGCCCTTCTAATTACTTGTCCAGAAACCCTTCATCGTGGTTGTGTTGTGATGTTCGGCTTTCAATTGTGGCCTATAGATAGACTCTAAAAAAACAAAATTGTGGGTACACTTCATCCCAATATTATTATCTGATCATAACCGAAAATTATAGGCGTTGTCCTTGACCACACCTGGATCCTCATGCGCTAGTTTGGTAATGGGTTACTAAATAATACATCAATACGTATGCACCTATAAATATTAAAGTGTAACTTCCACATCCGAGTTCCTACGACAATATAATTGGTATCCATTTAAAGGCCAACCAGTCCTCTTTGGACAGACGGACACACATGTCTAGATCGACTCAGTTAGTCGAGATATGACGATCGGTATACTTAAAGGTGGGTCTAGACCAATATTTCGCGGCGTTACAACCTCTTGTGGCTGCACAAAGCTATAATACCATGACAACATAGTTGTGTAGGGTATAAAAATCGATCGATTTTTGGCTATAGCAGTTCCTCTACAAAGATCGAGCCCCTTGGTAGATATTTGGTGTTCCTAGGTACATTTTACAACCTATGTGACTATATTTTGGTACAACGAAGTGGATGGATTTTAAAATCTCGCGGCCTACGTTCTGGTTTCTACACAGCCAAACCAAGGTTTTGGTTTGGTCTGATTCAACGAATGGGATGAAATTATATATTTTTGGTTCTCATTGGGTGGCACATCTTTCAAATTAGAAATTACCAATATCGTTGCATGATCATGTATGGCTCCCATATAATGGCACCCCTAATTTTCGTTATTTTAAGGATTTCCGACATATTTTTCAACAGAGTTTTCTCTATTCACATGTTTTGAGTTTTCATTGGGTGCAAACTTTCCTACTGGAAATAATAAAAATCGATTATTGGCACTTTCGTAGGTATTTTGTTCTCCTAGGTATTTTTTCAACCGATGTGACTATATTTGGGCATTATGAAGTGGATGTACTTTGACATTCCGGGACCTTGATGGCTACACAACTTCCTCACAGCAAATTTCAACATTAGTCCATGTTCCTACATAGATTCAATACCAAGGTCACGCGTCATACCCGGTATTTTGAAGGCCCTAGTCCAGTTTTCCAACCTGAGTGCTTGTAGCTTTGTATTTTGTTTCGGCAGCTATTTATCATATCCATATAATAATCACAATACATTTTTAGATATTTTTGAATGTCCACTCAATATTGGAGGGCATAAAAGTTTAGCCCGTCCGATCTTTACGACATTTTAAATTATTTTTTGAGGATTAAACAGAATCGATCGATTATTTATCAATCTCTGTCGCTGTTCTTGTAGCAACAAAATACATAGTACTAGTTATGAATTGTCTGGTTCTGGTTCCTATACCTCCAAATTGAAAAATGTAGTAACCTGAGTGAGCTGCGCCCATTGGGAATTTCGTGGCAGTTGAGTAGGTTTAGGAAGGTCAATTGAACTGATGCAACGTATCTTATCTTATTTGTCTGTTGTTATTCTGGTTCTGACTCCCCTGTTTCCAGGTTTAAAAAAATGTAGCAATCTTTATCGGCTATATTCGAAGAGATTCCGAAGACAGATGAGTAAGCGACATTAACTTATGCCAGCTTCGCATCTCATCTTATCGCAAATAGCGGTGGATTGTGTGGACGACTTCAATAAGCTATCGGACTTTATCCTCAAAATTTTGGGGTAGGATGAGGTTGGAATCGATCATGATGTTTAGGGAAAGACGTTATTTGAGCTGTCCATGTGGTAAACAGAGTGGCTGTAAATTATTGGCGAATATCTTCATTGAAGAAATGTACCAAATCAGTTATGTGGACATTTAACCTTTCACAAATGTTGTAACAGCTTTTATTGCTGTAAATTTTTCTTCTATTCAGAATCTGCTTCGAACTCCGGGTTCAAAAAAGCTGTTGTAGTTGTGTCCATTGTGAAGATGGGGTTAGGTTATTGGGTTTGGCAGGGAAGTTGAAGAAGTGTTGCGTTTAGGGAGAGGCTTCAGTTCATCTGTCCATGTAATGTACTAGTTGTGTCCGTAGTGAAGGTGGGGTTGGTTATTGGGCTTGGCTGGGATGTTTAAGAAGTGTTGCATGTTATGTGGACCATTGCCACATGCCGGGTGCGACATAACAGTGCGTTCTGGAGGACATCGGTTATACTTTTAAAGTTTTATTCATAAATTCTTGCAAACTTATTTAAATTGGAATATTTTTAATGTTCAGTACGAAGGTCATTACTGCGAAAGGAGCCTATTTTAAAAACTTGTAAAGATTTTTTAATTTATTTATAATTTGTATATTTTATTTCACAATATCTCTCTTATTTCTTTTAATACAAAATATTATTATATATTAAACTAATAAAAAATACATTTTCATTTTCAAAAGATCGTTAACATTTATTATGACAAACAAAAATATATTCCCACAATTGGACCATTTCTTAATAATTAAAAAAAGGAATCAAAGAATAAAAACAATTATTAAGTAATAAAATAAAAAAAATATTATTATTTTCAATGAAATGAAATATTTTTATATATAAAAAACAGTAAACGGAAAAGGAAAAATCTATATTGATTATTAAAAATCTAAATAGCTGCTGATGTCGCTGCTGCTGTTGCTTGTGTTGTGCTATTAGTCTGGGTGGATTTTTTGAAGGCATGAGGCTTGCGTGGTTCCAAACGAACACGGAATCCCTCTTCACGTTTCAATATGATATCAGCTTGCAACCGGAAATCTTCTTCAGTTAAATCGGAATGGACACGATAGTTTCGTAGGATGGTGGAAAGTAAAATTTTCAATTTTAACATGGCATATTTGCGACCTGTGAAAAAACAACAATTATTTACAATTAATTTTGATTTGATTTTTATGGCTACGAGGAATATTCTGAACTCACCCACACAACTTCTTGGTCCAGCTGAGAATGGTACAAAGGCATAATAATGACGATTGGCTTGACGTTCGGGCAAAAAGTTATCTGGATCAAAGATATTCGGATTCTTGTAGACCAAAGGATTACGATGTAATTTAATGGTGGCCACTGTAATGGTGGCACCTCTTGGTATAACATAACCATTGGAGGCCAATTTCAAATCTTCCTGTAATTCTCTGGCAATTAACGGTACTGGCGGATACATTCTCAGTGTTTCCATAAGACATCTTTCCAAATATTTCATTTCCAATGTATCTTGGAAGGTACAATTTCTATCGGAACCTTGGAAAATTTCATCCAACTCCTCAATAACACGATCCTGTATACCCTGATGTATACCCATTAAGGAGAGGAAAAATGATGAACCCGCAGCCGTTGTATCGTGACCCTCAAACATGATGGTATCAACTTGTTCCTTAATTTCAGTATCCGTTATTGTGGCACCATTCTGGGCACTTTCCAAAAGTAAATCCAAAAATGCCAAACGTTTCTTTTCACCCACATTATTATCATCCACATCGAGGTCATCCTTCAATCCTTCGGCCTGGCCAAATGAAAGGCCTTCTACGGTGGTAACTTTTTCGTTTTTATCTTCAGGGCTGGTAATATTGCCATTTGCATTTAAACTTTCTGTTATCAATTCACCATTTTCAGTCCATTCATATTTGGCCAATGAGCCACGAGTACCTCTCTTAAAGGCTTCCTTCTTATATTTAATTACTTTCTTTGTCAGACCATGAATGATATCCAAAAGTCGTCCTTGTTCACGATAATATTTGGTAAGGGAAAATAGGAATTCACTGCGCAGAAAGAGGCTGCGATGTCGCAGGTGAAGAATGTCACACATTTTCATAACGGCCAGTGCATATTCATAACCAGATTTATCCTGGGTCTTTCTCGACACACCCATAGCAGTTTCTGGAAAAAAATAATAAATAGAAGGGAGGAAATTAAAATCGGATTTACATTGGGAAATTGTCTCAACTTTTAATTATTAGAGAAAGATGAATGGGAGTGCTGGCAATTCTTATTGGGTTTAGGTGTTGAGGCTAGACAGAACTTCCCTTGAATAAAAACAGGGTCTTATTTCATAATAAATATTTCCAATTTTATTTGCATCTGTTCCCAGAAGTCCTATGTTCCCTAGTAGAATAAAGGAATACAACAAAATTCCGAGATTGTGAGTTAGGATGGGGGTTGTTACTTGCCCCACATCTCTCTACATTTGACAATAAACTAGCAAAGTGCCCGCTACTTCGTATGCGGAAAGGGAATACAAAAAATAATATTTCATATGGAAATCGTGAATACTGAATAATTCGCTGTACTATAGTTCTAAATTCCACCTCTATTTCTACATCTAATATCAAGTTTATTACAATTATTTATTTATTATTTCATTATGTAACAATAAAGCCTAATAAGGCCAAAACTAAATATGTTACATTCTAAAAATTTACGCCTAAAATAAATTTCCATTCATATAATTAAACATTTTAAAATATCATAAAAATTTCATTATAATTCGCAATACTGTTTTGGTTCCCCAACCAAAAATATATAAATATTAAAACAAAATTGCAAAAATTCGTTAACTTCAAAAAAATAGCATATATAGATATGAGGGTATAAGTATACATCAAGTGTTTAAGAAGTAATCATTTATTTTTCTTCGAAACACATTGTTAGAGTGTGAAAAAATACGTAATTCCAATGGAAGCTGATTCCAACTCCTGGCAACACGAACCAAAAATGATCTCTCAAATATAGAACAAGAACGGAATAACCAAATTTGGGTTTCTCGTTGACCGAGAAAAGGTAAATGACTGTCGAAATGAATAAGGAATTCCCCTTTTGACCATATTGTAAAAAAACTGCAAGTTACATCTGTCAACATAAGACATAAATGGAACTCCCAAAAATTGCTGAGTATGTTCAGAAATGTGATGCCGTCTACCCAAGTTGAAAACAAAACGAACTATGGTGTTTACTAACCTCTACAGTCTCTGCATATTACAAGATCGAGTTCCTGAAATAATTTCTAAGCCATACCGTATATTTGGCATCAATAGAGCATGTGCTAACCTTATTTTAACCCAACGTGGAAAGTACACACTACAAGAATAAATTTTACGTAGAGTACCATAAACTTTGGAGTATATGTGATTAATATGCAAACCAAAATCCAAATGTTTGTCAACATGAACACCCAAGCACACATGACTGCTCACAAATTCAATCGTATGTTGGCCCAAAACAATGTTAAGATTAAACTGAGAACCTCCAAACAAAATGGCTTTAGATTTTGACGGGTTAACCAAAAAGGAATTTCTATTTGCCCAATCAAATGTTCTTTCTAAAGAAGAATTTATTTTTGCTTCTAAAACATCAGGACTGTCCTGTTGTGCATTAAAAAGAAGAAATATGTCATCCGCAAAAAAGAATGGAGTACAGATATCGGAGTCTAAATACTGAGAAAGATCATTTAGATATAAAATAAAAAGCAGGGCCCAAGGACAGATCCCTGTGGGACACCAGATTTCAAAGAAGCAATTTTAGATCTTACACCATTGATTTCAACAAACTGAGACCTATCTGTCAAGTATGAAAGTACCAAACGACATGCAGACTTTGAAAAATTGAATTGGGTATGCAGCTTATTGATCATTATTGAGTAAGATATAGAGTTAAAAGCCTTGGTCAAATCCAAGCAAACTAAGGAGGACATCCTCCCTATATTAGCATTACATCTAACCATATCAGTAACGTGTAGCAATAATGATGTGGTATTATGACCACTACGGAATGCATGCTGGTTATAAAATAAATCATTCTGAATTTGTAACAAAATCTGCTCCTTCATCAAATGTTCACACACCTTCGACAGAACAGGTAAAATTGAAATAGGTCTTAAATCGTTGGGAGAAAGTACCGATGATGTCTTAGGTATAGGGACAACCCGTGCTTTTTTCCATGCCAACGGAAAAACAGATATTGTAAGAATACTATTCATCAAATCCAAAACGATTTCAGAAACATAAGGGAAAATAGCATTCAAAAATGTCAATGATATGTTATCCACACCTACAGCCCTCGACTTTATTTTTTTAAGTGCCAGAACAACATCTTCAACGTTTACACATCCAAAAGCAAATGAATTATCCGTGTCAGAAAACAAATTGAAATCAACATTATTATAAACAATAGAATGAACATTATCAGAGAAAAAAATATTCAGCTCATCTATGTTACCATCGTAAAACGTACTATCATCACCAACGCATCCAGACTCCCTAAGTACCTTCCATAGTCCGCTTGTATCCATACCACTAAACTGCTTCATATAATGCCTTCTTTTCTTCTTACGAATAATAGATTTGCACTTATTCCTATACTTAGTATACACTTTCCAGAGTCTATCACATCGATTCTGCCGATAAGCTTGATATGACAAATCTCTCAATGATCTAAAAAAACGTATCTCATTGCAATCCATCCAGGTATCCACCTTTAAGGGTAGCCTCCTTTTAACAATCGGAACAAATTTGTGTAAATCATTAATTAGACTAGAAAGCACATCACACTTAACGTTAACATCACAAGTGGCATAAAATGTGGAAAAATCATAACCCGATAGATAGTCCAATAACCTATCCCACTCAATATTAGTGTAATCGTGAAAAAATACAATCTGTTCTGATTTCTCAAAATTTATGTGAAATGAAGAAAATATGAGAGCATGATGCGACATTACAGGACACTGCATCTGGCCAGATGAAAGGATGTTCAAATTAGGACTCACAAGCATAAAATCTATTAGGGAAGATGAACCGTGCGCGACATCAAAATGAGTGGGTCTAGAGTTATGATGAATAGGGAGACATAACCTCGAACAAGAAAAACGGAAAATAGATGACAATGAAGTATTGAACAAGTTTGTGTTGAAGTCACCACTACAATAATATTCTTATATTTTAAAAATATTTCAGAATGAAGTTCTTCAAATATTGAGACATCAGCAAGTGGTGGTAAATATACAACACCAAATAAAGTTGCAAATTCACCAGTAAAAATTTCACAAAACAGGGACTCACATTTTCCCAGAACGGATGTTTTGTACACAACTTTAAACCTAATCTTATTTGATATATATATACAAACACCACCACCTCTAGAACATCTACGATCATTTCGCACCAACGAAAAGCCAGGAATTTGCACCGAACGCGTGGAAACAGTGGATTTCAGCCAAGTTTCTGACAATCCAATTGCATCCAGATTAGATCCTGCAAATAGAGATTTAAGTTCCTCAAACTTAGAAGAGTTTACTGATGGTCGCATACTCTGACAGTTCAAATGACTCACATTGAAAACACCATTATTTCCACACAACTCAAAATTTATATATGAGCTATTGCTAATTATAGGACCAATATTTATGTCAAAAGACATTACAAATGAAAAAAGATTTGATGGGGAACCAAGAATTGAAATTACAAATTGAATAATCCAAATTCATTTCTAAAATCATTAATTTACACTTTAACATTCAAGAAAGCATTGACCATTATTAAATATTTGAACAAGTAAAGACATATTATGTTTGGTTAAAAGTAATGAGATCAGAATGCATATATTATAAAATTAAATTAATATTTAAAGCAAAATAAATTCATTTTATCTAAATATGTATATTCACTTGGAATGGTATAACAAAGCAGAATTTCCATAAGTCAAATCACAGAATCACTAGATGAACGAAAAAGATCATTACACTCATTCATACACATAAGCATTATTCTCCAAAATCTCTTTATTATTTCCATTACACAGATTAAAAATAGATCAGAATTCCAATAATTAACTTTAGCAAATATGTATAGGTTCCACATTTAGTTCCATTTAGCACTTTTGGAACACATAAGTACACATTTTAAAAACTACCTCCATACTATCACCACCACTAAATTTAGTACCAAATACACTTTGGCCCTTCTTTCTAAATCTCTGTCAGTGACCCACATTCCAAATTTAAGTTTCCAGCTCTCTAAGTTACCCAAATCGAAGTTTTTCCAAATCTAGTCAATCTTCTATTCTATTTACTAATCGTACACATAAATTCTAGTTTCCAAAGTTGTCTCCATAGCTCGATACTACAGTTCAACAGTAATCTTAATTCCAAATCTAAGGATTCAACCAAATCCAAATTATTCCAAATTTAGTAACATTTACTATATAGTCATAAGTAATAATTTCTAAAACTACATAGATCCTATTTAGAATTCCAGTTCTGTCTGTTCATTAAAAACCAAATTTTACAAGATTTGGTACCATTCTGTACATTAGTACACATATTCCAAACCTATCTCAATATTTCAAATCTGCTTTCAAATAGTAATCTTAAGTCCAAATATAAGAATTCCAGCTCTATCTATTCACTAAATTGTACCAGATTTGTACTTTTCCTACACTCCCACAGTAACCTAAGTTGCAACTTTTGGATTCGAGTTCTACCCGTTCACCAAAGTCCAAATTGTACCAAATTATGTGCTTTTCGTACCCAAAGTATGAATTTCCAATACTACCTCAATTATGCACGCCAATAATAACCTTAAGACCACATTTAAAGATTCCAGCTCTATCCGTTCACCAACATCAAAATTGTACCAAATTTAGTACCATTTATTACATTTCTTAAACGAAAGTACGAGTTTCTAAAGTTGCCTCAACTCCACACTGCTAATCACAATTTCTAGGATCCCAGCCCTATCCGTTCACATAGATCCAAATTGTACCATATTTAGTTCTTTTCGTACTTATAAGTTTCAATTTCCAACACTGTCTCAATCCTGTACTCTAACAGTAATTTATTATCAAATATAAGTTTTCCATCTCTATCCTTTCACTCAAATCTAAATT